CTCTTCCGAGCTAAGTCTTTCGAGCACGAGTCCAAGATCAAACTGCAGCAGAGGAGACCACTTAGGCCAATCTCCTCTTGGGCTGAGCAAAGAGTTTTAAAAATTAATCCACATTTAGCCCTTAGGAAAAAGCTGTTTGGCTCCCGCCTCGCTCAGCTCCAGCTCTTACGTGCGACCTCATCAGCGTCTGAAATCAGATACTCTGCGCTCATCTGCGGAGGCCTCAGCCGAGCAGCGGAAATCCTGCCTGCCCACGAAGCACGGCCGGGCTCGGGCAAGGCGGGCTGGAAAAGGATCCCTGCGTCCGCGCCGGGTCTTAAATCCCCTTGGGGACACCGCGGCATGGCAGGGCACCAACCGCAGGGCTGGACCAGCGGGACCCTCCATCCTTTCGGATCCCCAACCGGAAAACTCATGGAGGCCATGCTGTTGTCCGGCCACGGCATCTGCTCCCCCAGGCTCGGCTGTCCAAACTGCTGCTCCGGCACCCCCATCTCCAGTTCGGTCATTCCTGATGGGAAAAGCAAAGGTGGAGGAGAAACCGGTCAGCAGGACGAGGAGGCTCCAGAAAGCGCTGGAGATAGCCGGGCACCTAACACCCTCCGTGCCGAGGACGAGGGGGCTCCGGACAGCGGCACGCACGGCCCTGCGAGCCGCCGGGAAGCCCCTACGTGTTCCTGGAAAGGCTAATTCACGGCTCCCCCAGCCCAAACAGCCCCGCTCAGTCGCCTCCCTTCGTTTCGCTGCGACAGGACAGGGATGCTAGTGGGGCGTCATCATTTACTGGCACGAAATAAATGCTGAAGAGAGGAAAAAGACTTCTTGAGGATTGAAAAAAAATGACACGGGTTTTCAGAGAGCGGAGATGCTACCTTGCACAGCTTGCCCAGGCCCGGTAAGTCCCTGAGAGCTGCGTGCCTAACGGCAAGGGCTCCCCAGCTGCAGCGCTTCTCGGCCCCAAAGATACAGCCATCAGATGTGCCCTCCCGGGAGCTATAGGCATGAGCTTCCGGGTGACAACGCACGCAGCTAGCCTAGGCACGGCGGATGTGTGCGCCCCTGCATACGCAGCGCGTACAAACGCTATAAAAACGCCGACCCCATCTAAGCCGCTCTTTTCAGAACAGTTCTAGCAGCGTTTTCCAAACCCAGCCGAGCTGCAGGGTCCGTCCTTGAAGGTCAGTTGTTACTACTGGAGAGTTTAGCTTAAAAAATAGCACACGCCCACGAGCACCTTCGGACTCTCGATATTGGAGAAAAGTTCATTTGCGCAGGGAGAAGAGCCAATGCAATTAAACTCAGTTTAGCAGAACTTTGAGCCCAAGCCCGGGACAGAGAGATTCACGAGGCTGGGGACTTCACATCATCCCGTTCGAAATGGGAATTGGGATTTAACGGCATCTTGGCTCAACTAACCCTCGGAGATCCGCACCGATGGAAACCCGCGGGATAAGCGCCTCGCTGGCCGGGGCGGCGGCGCTGCCTCGGGAAACGCTCTCGCCATCCACTTCTGCTCCGAGGGCCTGCAGCTCCCGGGGCAGCGCTTACCAAGGCGGCTAAAGCCGAAACGCATTCCTCTTTTCAAGCAAGCTCAGCTGGGCTAATTCTTCTCCCAGTAAAGCACATGACTTCATTGACCGTTTTTGCAATGACGCAGAGGCGAGTCCGCGGAGGAGCCCCGCGGGGAGCCGGCTCGGGGGGGACCGCCGCAGCAGGGGAGGG